GGAATGGCTTGTTTTTGTGTGGTTTCCGTGTTTACTCCAGGAAAGGTGAGGTGATGAATCATGGAAAATACATTCATTTAGTGGAACCCGAAAGCGTGTCATTTCACTATAGTTTATTTGGGACAGTGGTGGTTAGAGAAAAGCGGCATTGTGCGTCACGTGGCTTATCTCAAAAGAAAGGCAACGCTAGTCTCCGGCACCAAAAGAAAGCCTAAATGACCCCGAGTAACCGTCACGCACGTTTTAATCTTTGAGTCAGACAAAGTAAACGCAGTTCCCAACTGTTGTAGCCTACATGTGACTGGTAAGTTTGTCGCGCTTGTCTGTGGCCGGATTGATTGACAGATGTCGTCAGCTGGCACACACGCACACACTCACGTTGTGCGGACTGACTCTACCACAATATCGATCGGCTTCAGTTAATCAGAGGTAAGTATTGAACTGTTCCCACGCTGATTGGTTCACTGTTTGAATGCCCGCCTGACCGCATTCGGCTATCGTGCAACGCATGAGCCAGTTGTTGGTCTGCCCGCCTGCAAGCCTTACCACCTGTTGTCCTCTTCTGATTGCTCACCGGCCCACGGACCGGCTTCATGTGTGCCTACTGCAAAAATGACTGCGCCTTTAATTACTTAGTTAAATTGTACCCCTTCCAAATGGAACCGCAAATTACCTTTTCCGTCTGTGACAGAATAATTTCAGCTATAAGATCGGCCACAACCACTGAACACGGACAATTTGTTTGTCCAGTGAAAGTTCGAGTGCAAAACCAAACACCAATTCGACTACGCACGTGCGTGGTTATGACCAAAAGACTGATCTTATGTTGGCATTTTGCGAAACGCCCTTGTCTGACGTGATGAAATGCATTCGAAGAAACGGGAACGAAGGCGCACGGTTCTTGATGAAACCTAATAACTAAAGAACATAAAAGTTCAAAATATGGATGAGATGTAAAAAGCGGTAATTCGCACTGACCAACAGCGAAAAAGACAAATAGTACAGAAAAATGAAGAGAACGAGGAGAGGCGGGGAGAAAAATAGTACCGATACCGAGAAACGAAGAGTTCACTGTCTACAGTTCGGAATGATAGCGCCGCAATATTACTTCGGGCGGATCAAAACAGGCAGCCGGAGTATGCAGTTGCATGGTATACACACATCGCGAGGGTTCTTCCACTGATCGGATCACGTTCTGTGAGTCGCAATGCACGTAAACCTGAAATCAAGGAAGCCGGGACAGGAATGAAACAAAAGCGATAAGAGAAAAACCACATACAAACGATGCAGTGAGAAAGAGTTTAGCAACGGAAGGTGCAATGCCTAATCAAGGAAAATAGAACTCTAGTTACACTCTTCCTTTCTTTTTGCATTTTACTTCCTTCTATTAAATACGAAATGACACAATTTGCAGGAAGGGAGATGCGGTCAATCAAAAGGCCTCCATACAGCACACAAGTGGGGAAAGTCAGGCGGTGGTAGGATTCAAACACACGTTGTCCGAGGTGATAATTTGGTGACGTTACCACCGGGCCACCACCGCCGTCCAAGAACGATGATTCTACAGCATCCATCAATTTGGATTGCAATATTCCAATGTGATTGCATCCTACTCACTGCCTTCTCATGGAGAAGGTGCTTTTCCACCAAAGTGAGAGGACGAAAAGCCGACATCCGGGGTTGCAACCGGGTTGATGGACCACTAGTAGTTCACCTAGGGCAGTTGGCCAAAAACCCTGATTCCAAATCAACCAAGAGGCGTACGAACCACACACATTTCCGGTTGTGGCAACGGTCACTGGCTTAGTTCAGTTCAACCATTTCAACCATTAACCATGCACTTTCGTGCGTCAGTTTTGGTTGCCCATTTGGATAAAATAGCAGAATGATGATTAGAATGTTGAGAGCAGATTTAAGCGAAAGGTAGCACATTTACATAGACTGAAGTTACAAGAATAATGAGTAGATGCATGGGCGCCACTGTTTGCGACACCCAGCCATGATCTCTGGGTCCCCGTCCAGGAAGCCTAACGGGACCTATGCGAGCCAGTCTTCTGGTCAGGGTTTTCATACCCTCATGCCAGTTCTTAGCTTGACTGCCCTTCATTTTTTCCAACCGCTACCTGCCTCGCCAAGCAAAGCTCGAGG